TTGATTGCCATTTTTTCTTAATTTTCTTCCTTTATTTAACGATCGCCTTGTTCCTCTTTTAAAGTTCCTCTTCTACATTTTCTTTCTATCTTTATCAATTTTCCTTTAATCTTTTTCGATCTTACTCTCTTATTCATAAACGTGTCTGCAACTTGCAATATTTCCCTTTCTTATTCCTTCCTGCTCTTGCAATCCCTCTCCTCCCTTTCTATTAACCCCCCCCCCTTTCGCCCTTCCCCCACACCCTATTCCTTTCTCTACCTCCCCCGCCCCCTCTAGTCCTTATCATGTTATCTCCATTCATTCTCCCTTTATTCTCTGCTCTCTCTCTGTCCTCCCTTCATCTCTCCTTCTCTCCCTTCTCCCTTTTCTTCCTCCTCCTTCGCTCTCCCTCTTATCACTTCCTCCCCCTTAAACTTATTCTCTTCTCCCATCCCCCCTCCTTTCCCTTTTCTGTCCTCTCTTCCTCATCCCCTCATCATCTTTGTGTTTGTTTTTTCGTTGGTCCGTCTGTCTCTGTCTCTTCCTCTGTCTCTTTCTCTGTCTCTGTCTCTCTGTCTCTCTCTCTCTCTTTCACTTCTTCTCCTTCCCGCTTTTTAACCTACACCTTCTTATCATTTTCTATCCTCCATCTCCTTTCCTCCTCACATTCTTCTTCTTCCTTCTTTGCCTCCCTCTCCCTCCTCTCCCGCCTCTCTTCTCCTCCTTTATTCGCTTTCTCTCTCCTCTTCTCTTCCTCACTCTTAATCTTTATTGCTTTCTTCCCCTTCATTCCTCTCTTCCGTTTCTCATCCTTCCCCTTCATATATTTTCCTTTCCCTCCTCTCCTTTGGCTCCCCTCCCTTTTTTCTCTCTCTTTCTCCCCACTCTCCCTCCCTTTCTCCCTCTCTCCCTCACACTTCTCCCCTCTGCCTCCTCTCTTCTTCCTTTCTCACTTCCTTTTCTCCCCCTCTCTCCCTTCCCCTCCATCCTTTTCTCTCCTCTCCTCTCCCTCCTCTCGTCTCCTTTCCCACCTCTCCTCTTTTCCCTCTCCCTCTCCCTCTCCTTCTCTCTCTCTCTCTCATCTCGTCCCTCTCTCTCGTCTCTCTCTCATCTCCTCTCTCTCTCTCTCTAGCTATCTATCTTCTATCTCTCCCTCTCTCTCTCTCTCTTCTCTCTCTCCTCCCCTCTCTCTCCTCTCCTCTCCATCTCTCTCTATCTCTCTCTTCCCTTCCTCTCGTCTCCTCCTCTTTCTTTCTCTTTTCCCCTTCTCTCATCTCTCTCGTCTCCTCTCCCTTCCTCCCTCCTCTCATCTGCTTCCTCTCCTCTCTCTCTCCTTCTCTCCCTCTCTCCCTTCCCAACCTCTCCTCTCCTACTTCTCCCTCTCTCTATCCCTCCTCCCTCGCTCTCCTCTCTCTCCTCTCCTCTCCCTTTCCCTCTCCCTCCTCCTCTCCCCTCCTCCTTCCTCCCTCCTCCGTCCTCCCATCCTTCACCCTCCTCCTCTCCCCTCCCCTCACCCTCCGCCCTCTCCCTCTCTCTCCTCCTCCTCCTCCCTCCTCCTCCCCTCACCCTCCTCCTCTCCTCTCTCTCCTCCCTCCTCCTCCCTCCGACACTGTCCCTCGCCCTTCTCTTTCTCTCCCTCGTCCCTCTCCTCTCTCTCCTCCCTCCTCCCTCCTCTCCCTTAACCCTCACCCTCTCCCCTCCCTCTCTCTCCTCTCCTCCTCCCTCTCCCTCGCCCTCTCCCTCTCCCCTCTACTCCCTCACCCTCTCCCTCTCTCTCCTCCCTCCTCCTCCCTCCTCCTCCCCTCACCGCCTACCCTCGCCTCTCTCTCCTCCCTCCTCCTCCCTCTCCCTCGCCATCTCCCTCTCCTCTCCTCTCTCGTCCTCCCTCCTCCTCCTCTCCCTTACCCTCACCCTCTCCCTCTCCCTCTCTCTCCTCCCTCCTCCCTCCCTCTCCCTCGCCCTCTCCCTCTCCCTCTCCTCCACCCTCTCCCTCTCTCTCCTCCCTCCTCCCTCCCTCCTCCCTCCCCTCACCCTCCTCCCTCTCCCTCTCTCTCTCCTCCCTCCTCCCTCCCTCTCCTCGCCCTCTCCCTCTCCCTCTCCCTCTCTCTCCTCCCTCCTCCCTCCCTCTCCCTTACCCTCACCCTCTCCCTCTCCCTCTCTCTCCTCCCTCCTCCCTCCCTCTCCCTCGCCTCTCCCTCTCCCTCTCCCTCACCTCTCCTCCCTCTCTCTCCTCCCTCCTCCCTCCCTCTCCCTCGCCCTCTCCCTCCTCCCTCTCCCTCTCCCTCCTCCCTCTCCCTCTGCCTCCTCCCTCTCCTACCCTCTCCCTCACCCTCTCCCTCTCCCTCCTCCCTCCTCCCTCACCCTCTCCCTCCTCCCTCCTCCCTCTCCCTCCTCCCTCCCCTCACCCTCTCCTTCTCCCTCTCCCTCTCCCTCCTCCCTCCTCCCTCTGCCTCCTCCCTCTCCCCCTCCCTCTCTTTCTCCCTCTCCCTCACTCTCTCCCTCTCCCTCCTCCCTCTCCCTAAACCTTTACTGTTTCATTCCCTAATCCCTGGAATCCTTTCTGCCATCTTGATCATCGCGTGCTCCTAATCCTCTCTTGCTCTCCCTCGCTGCTATAATTCTCTTTCTCTCTCTTTCTTCTCTTCTCTTAATCCCTTACTTTCTTAAACATTGAGGAGAAAAGAAGAGAGGGAGAAAGGGTGGTCGTTGTTACTCTAGGTCTACTCTCTCTTTTTGTGTTTGTTTTTTCGTTGGTCTGTCTGTCTTTGTCTCTTTCTCTGTCTCTCGCTCTGTCTCTTTCTCTGTCTCTGTCTCTCTCTCTGTCTCTCTGTCTCTCTCTCTCTCTCTCTCTCTCTCTCTCTCTCTCTCTCTCTCTCTCTCTCTCTCTCTCTCTCTCTCTCTCTCTCTCTCTCTCTCTCCTCTCTTCCCCCCCTCTCTCTCTCTCTCTCTCTCTCTCTCTCTCTCTCTCTCTCTCTCTCTCTCTCTCTCTCTCTCTCTCTCTCTCTCTCTCTCTCTCTCTGTCTCTCTCCCTCTCTTTCTCTCTCTCTCTTTCTCTGTGTCTCTTAGTTTGAATCTACTTGCTATATGCGGTGTTCTTAAAGGGAAAGGCAGGGAAACGATGTTGTAATCTTAGCGTTTATGTATCAAATTATGCGTTCTTAGTTCAATGTATTATAATACGTGTAAAATTCCTTGAGAATGTTTACTCTCTTTGTTCGTATGTGTATATATAATAGTTTATTTACGAAGTAGTTTATTTAGATATTATTAGATATGTCCTTCTTTCCAATAAGTGTAGATGTCCCTTGAGAGGAACTGTCGATATCCTCTTTGCAGTCTACATGAAGTTCCATCCACCTACCAAGATGCGTGGTTGAAAATTAGTGCAAATTTTCGCTTACACTTCCCAATATGTGTCGTTTTAAAATAAGTGTACAGTTCTCTTAAAAATCGTCTATCCATTTACACTTTCACTATCTGAAAGTATACTGATTTACTGTATTTGAACATTCTTATAAAGTAGTATTCATACAGTACTTGGGGTAATACAGTACAAAGGTGTCTCGTATATCCGAAAGTGTAATATACTGTACAAGACCCACTCATTATGCAAGAGACACTATAGCTACTAGCTACTGCCAGAATTCTCAAGGAGAAAAAAATCACTTCATAAGCACATTCCTTACATATTTCATTGCCTTGTTGATCACCGGAAAATATTTTTTTGTGAATTGAATACGTTTCCTTATATCATATAGGAATTTAATGTTATATACTCATAGTAGCAATGCCTCCTATACTGAGAAAAGGGAAGGAGAGATAGAGAGAGAGGGAAGTAGAAATAGAGAAAGAGGGAAGGAGAGATAGAGAAAGAGGGAAGAAGAGATAGCGAAGGAGAGTAGTAGACTGAAAAGGAGAAGAGAGGAAGGATAAATAGAGACAGAGAGGAGAAGGGAGAAGATAGTGAAGGAGAAAAGGGAAGAAGAAATATAGAAGGAGGGAGAGAGAGAGATAGAGAAAGAGAGTAGTAGCCTGGAAAGGAGAAGAGAGAAAAGATAGATAGAGACAGAGAGGAGAAAGGGGAAGAGGAGATAGAGAGGGAGAGTCACTGACTGGAAAGGAGAGAGGTAGGGAGAAGAGTGATAGATGGATGCAGGAATAGGAGGAGAGGCGGGAAAAGAGAAAGAGAGAGAGATATATGGAAATTAATGTGTTTGGATGATGGGAAATAGAGGAATGAAGTACATGTTGAAATGGTGAAGGATAAAAAGACACAGACAGCGTGAGTAAATGTGTGTATGTGTGTGTGTGTGTGTGTGTGTGAGAGAGAGAGAGAGAGAGAGAGAGAGAGAGAGAGAGAGAGAGAGAGAGAGAGAGAGAGAGAGAGAGAGATTGAGAGAGAGAGAGATTGAGAGAGAGAGAGACTGAGAGAGAGAGAGAGAGAGAGAGAGAGAGAGGGAGGGAGAGAGAGAGAGAGAGCAAGATAGATAGAGAGAGAGAGAGAGCAAGATAGATAGATAGAGAGAGAGCAAGATAAGAGAGAGAGACAAACAGTTCCGCCCCCCCCCCCTCCCATCATATTAACCCCAGTCCCAACTCCTCCCCTCCATTCTCTCTCCCTCTTCTCAATATCGCAAAAAAAGTGATATAAAAAAAAATCAGATATGAAGAGAAAGGTCATAAGATCAAGTCATATATCGCAATTCAATAAATCTATAGAGGAAAGAGGAAGAGATGCCTTGCATAGATTTAGATCTATATTCACATCTACACATATCTTTAGATCTATGTATCTATATTAGCATCTACATGTACTTGTTTCTATTTCTGTCTCTATATATCTCTTACTCTAATATTTCTAGCTATATCTAAATATATCTATCAATATATATACACACCTTTCTATATCTATATCAATCTATCTGTCTATCTATCAAACTAACTATATATGTATATATAACATCAAAATCCATATCTAAAGTTATCGAATCTCTATATGCCCATACCTATATCTGTAGAGACCGCCCATACCTATATCTGTAGAGACCGCCCATACCTATATCTGTAGAGACCGCCCATACCTATATCTGTAGAGACCGCCCATACCTATATCTGTAGAGACCGCCCATACCTATATCTGTAGGGACCAAGATTTTCCGTAATCAAAATCTCGTTGACGGCTCCAACTGCCCGGCTTGGGTCACGTGATCATTTATTCAGAGAGGCGCCATTTACATGTGTTGGTGGAGAGAAGTCGGCGGGGGAGGAGGGGGAGAGGGGAGACGGGAGAGGGGGGGGGGTGAAGGGAAAAGGACGATGGCGGGAGGTGTGGGGGGGGGATATAGGGAAATAGGGGAGGTAGGGGGTTTAGAAGGCGATAGACATTAGGGAATTGGGGAGAGAGGGATGTAGGAAATTAGGAAGTGGTGGAGAGGGAGAAATTAGTGAATATGGGAGCAAGGGATGTAGGGAGGACTAGGGAGTGGGGGAGGAGGAAGAAGAGGAGAGGGGGATGTAAGGAGCGAGGGACCGTAAAGAGAAAATGAATTAAAGAGGAAAGGGAGAGGGAAGGAGAGAGAAAGGATAAGGCGCGAGGGAACAGAAAGAGAAAAGAAGACATGAGACTAGGGAAAGGAAAAAAATTAAGTATAAGGGTAAATAGATAGAGAGGGAGGAGGGAGTAGGGGAAAGGGGGTACGTGGGGGAGAGGGGAAGCGGGTGGAAGGAGAGGGAGTGAGGGATTAGGGGGGGGGGGGGGTAGTGAGGAATATCAGGAGGATTAGGGAAGGCGAGAGTAGGGATGCAAGGAGATCAGTTGACATGAAGAGTTAGGAAGAATAAGGAACTAAAAAGAGGAGGGGAAGAGGATAGAGAGAAGGAGAGGGAGAAAAGAGGAAGACAATTAGGAAGGAATAATCCCTTAGTTTACACGTGTTGCTGGAGAACCGCGGACGGATAGGAAGGAGAAGAAAGAGGAAAGAGAGAATAAGAAAGAAGGGATTGGGGAGGGAGGGAGGGGGGACGTGACGGTGGGGGAGGATGAGAAGTGGGGAGGAAAGGAAAGGGTAAGAGAATTAAAGAAAACTGGGGACAGGAGACATGAAGGGAAGCAAGGGGAAGGCAGGGAAATGGAAATAAAGAAGAAAGGGAAGGAGAGGGAGAGACTAGGAGCGAATGGACGTAAAGAGAAAAAGAGAGAGGGATTAGAGAGGGAAATATATATTGGGGGAGGGGGGGAGTGGAGTGGATGGAAGGTAAAAGTCAGTGGGAGTGGAGTTAGGGAGTCAGAGAGGGAAAAAATAGGATTTGAGAACCGTATAGAGACGACAAGAGGTTGAAAAGGATTAAAATGATGGAGGGTAAAGGTAGGTTAGAGAGAGGGAAAATTATCACGCAGTGAATAGGAACAGACAAACTAGCAATAAAGAGAGAAAAAGAGAAAGGGAAGGAATAAGAGAGAGAGAGGGGGGGGGGGGCAGAGAGAGAGAGAGGGACAGACAGACAGACAGACAGGCAGACGGACAGAGAGTCCTTCGCCTTTATAAACCCCCTTTTCCCTTCTCTGTTTCCTTCTATTCCTCTCTACCTAGCTTTTCCCCTTTCTATCCTCCTTTCTCCTTTCTCTCTCTTTCTACCCCCTCCTTCCGGTCCCTTTTTTCTCCCTCTATCTCAGTCTCCACCTTTATCTCCCTCCTCCGCTTTTATCCCCCTCTTCCCTTTTCTATCCCTTTTTGTCCCCTCCTTCCCGTCCCTTCTTTCTCCCTCTTCCTCCTTTATCCCTCTCTTCCCCTTTCCTATCCCTTTCTACCCACTCCTTCCCGTCCCTTCTTTCTCCCTCTATCTCAGTCTCTCCCTCTATCTCCCTCCTCCGCTTTTATCCCCCTCTTCTCCGTGCCCCCTCTATCCCCACCTTGGGAAACCGGAGCAAGCGAGGCATATGGACGCAAAGATAACTCGAGTCCTGTGGCTGATAAAGAGCTTTCCTTTGTGACGAGTTGCGGTCAATGGATGCTCACCGTCCGTTTGTCTGTCTGTCTGTCTGTCTGTTTGAAAGTGTGTGTGTGTTTGTGTGTGTGTGTGTGTGTGGGTGTGTTTGTGTGTATGTTTTTTTTTTTTTTTATGTGTTCTCTGTCATTATCTCTCTTTTTGGATCTGTTACCCCTCTTTCTCTCTCTCTCTCTCTCTCTCTCTCTCTCTCTCTCTCTCTCTTCATTTCCCCCCCCCCTCCTCTTCCTCCTCTTCTCCTTATTCCCCCTATATCTTCTTCTTCTTCTTCTTCTTCTTCTTCTCCTCCTCCTCCTCCTCCTCCTCCTCCTCCTCCTCCTCCTCCTCCTCCTCCTCCTCCTCCTCCTCCTCCTCTCCATCTCCTCCTCCTCCTCCTCCTCCTCCTCCTCCCCACCTCCTCCTTCTCATCTCTCTCTCGTCTCTCCACCTATATATTCCTTTGTTATTGAGTAATTTTGCATTATTCCACCATTGTTATCGCCATTGTGAAAAGAAACAGATTTTAACATTTATTTCAATTTATATGTATTTATATATTCCGGATACATTTTTACTAGGGGGTGGTAAATCATGGTACAAAATATCAATAAATACTAAGCAAAAGTTTCTCTTAGATTGTATGGGCGTGTGTCTCTGTGTATATGCTTTTGTTACTATGTGTGTCTTTGGCTGTTTATGTGTCCCTGTGATGTGCTTATGTGTATCTTTGCCTGTGCCTGTATACCTCTGAGTGTGTGTATGTGTGTATAGATTTGTCTGTGTATGTATATCTGCATGTACGTGTGCACTAAAGAGAGAGAGAGAGAGAGAGAGAAGGGAAGAAATAACCCTAAACCCACAGACAGCTAAACCAATTCCGCAGTTGAAATCTACCGTTACTCCAAATATTGACATGATACATAAAGGTGTCATTAATAGCAGGCCACGTTGACATCCCCTACACACACTCGCATGATGATTGGTAAACAGACATATCGAGTGAGAGGAACAGAATCGCGAGCACGAAGATGGAAGGTGCGTTGGGAGAAGGAGAAAGAAATGAAGGGAATGGAAGAAAAGAGGAGAGAGAGAGAGGGGGGAGAGAGAGAGAGAGAGAGAGAGAGAGAGAGAGAGAGAGAGAGAGAGAGAGAGAGAGAGGGAGGAGGGAGAGAGAGAGAGAGAGAGAGAGAGAGAGAGAGAGAGAGAGAGAGAGAGAGAGTAAGTGCCGGTGAAGTAGGTCCTACAAGAATATGGTGAAAGGTGAGCTTAGAGTATAAAGCAGACTACCATGATATCTTGATTCCTTTGTTAAAAAGTAAGGATGTTGGAGAAACGTTCATCCTCCTCGACTGACTGTAGAGAGCATGCTTGTCCTATTGCACAGTGGTCTGATGATGGCTACAAATCACGTATTTAGCATGTGGCAATCGCTGGTGAAGAAGGAAGTGTTACACCAGCTTTTGCGAAAACATACAACATACAACAACAACATAACACTGGTATGTCAAATATGGCAAGAAAAGGTGAACTGACAGGTAAAGAAATAAACATCGTATATGCATATATATGTGTGTGCGAGAAGACGTGTATGACAAACATGTAAGATTATATACATTATAATGAATATGGAAATAAATACATAGAGTAACATGATATAGATATAACCTGGTTACAGCGAGAGTGAAGAACTGAGAGGAAAAGAAAGAAAGAACGAATGTGTTTTTGTGTGTTCATGGGTGAATGCACCGTGTATCATTTTGTAACTTAAAAAAACAACTTGATCACCTACAAGATAGTATATCTTGCAATAGCTAAACATGCAAATTGTATTTATGTCATTTCCCTTCACGATTTGCGCTTTCATTACCACACAATAGGAATTACATACACACTTTTATTCAATAAAGTAAAAGTGAAAATGTATGGCTTTTTTGGGGGTGAACGCAAAGGCTAATAAAATAAAATTTGGAAATATATCGACAAAACAAACAAATAATTGAGAAATATAATAAAGAGACCCGCATTTCAAAAGTGTCTCTAACTTGAATCGTATTAAATAAAATGAATATGTAAGCAGGCCAGCGGATATGAAACATGGGCTCACATTTCGTAACTTTCTTTCCTCTCTAATCAGTTCCTTTCCTTAAGCACCTCCCCCCCCCCTCTCGCCTTCCTCCCCCCTCTCGCCTTCCTCCCCCCTCTCGCCTTCCTCCCCCCTCTCGCCCCCCCCCCTCTCTCGCCTTCCTCCTCTCTTCTTCTCCCTTTCTTCTCCATCATTCCTTTCTCTTCTTGTCTACCCTTCCCATCCCCTCTCTCCCTTTCCCTCCCATCATCTTCCTTTGTCCTTTCCTTTCATCCTTTCTTCCCCCTCTTCTTCCCCTCCCTATTTTCTTCCTATTCTTCTTTTCTCTTCCTCTCATATTCTCCGCTCCTCCTCTTACTCTTTCTTCCCCTTCGTCCCCATTCTCTTCCCTTTCTTTTTCTTCCCCCACTACTCCCCAACTTCTATCCTTCATTACACCCCACCTTAACCCCCCCACCCCTACCCTCCCCCCCCACTCCTCCCCCTCATCACCTCCTATCTCCCCCCCCCACTCCTCCCCCTCGCCACCTCCTATCTCCCCCCCCCACTCCTCCCCCTCACCACCTCCTATCTCCCCCCCCCCCCCCTTTCAATTCCAACCACGCCCCCCTCATAACCTTTCTCCTCCCCACGCCTCCCCCCCCCCTTCCCTACCAACCACGCCTCCCCCCCCTCTATCCCCCCCTCCCCCCCAGCGCCATCTGGAGGCGGAGGCGGCGCGGATAAACAGGTTGTCCATTCACAGCGCTATTTACGGGTCTTTATTGGAAAGTGATTTGAGAGCCTGATTTTTCATGGGTTGATGCGCGTCTCTCTCTCTCTCTCTTTTCTTCTTTCTCTTTCTCTCTCTTTCTCTTTCTCTCTTCCTCTTTTTCTCTTTTTCTCTTTCTCTTTCTCTCTCTTTCTTCCTCTCTCTCTCTCTCTCTCTCTCTCTCTCTCTCTCTCTCTCTCTCTCTCTCTCTCTCTCTCTCTCTCTCTCTCTCTCTCTCTCTCTTCTCTCTCTCTCTCTCTCTTTCTCTCTCTCTCTCTCTCTCTCTCTCTTTTAGTCTCTCTCTTTCTTTCTTTCTCTCTTTTCCTCTTTCTCTTTCTCTTGCTCTTTATCTCTCTATCCATCTATATATCTATCTATCCATCTATTTAT